TTCTTGCAAACCATCTTGAATATATGATATATAAAAGGAAAATACTAAAAGAATAAAAATAGGAAAAAGAATTGGCATATTGTCTTATCATTTTGATTTATCATACTTTTATGTTTAATTTGAGTTTGGGCTTATGTTATTATTGTAGGAATTAGTTCAAATAATTAGCATAAAATTGGAAAATGAAAAGGTGTGTAAAAGTGGAAAATGAAAAGGTGTGACTACATATCAATTTCGACCAAATATTCGGACTTAATTCGATGGTCAAATTACAAAAGTAAATAGACTAACGTATTCTACTCGTCGAGTAGATCGTCGTGGTATATTTGGAATCTCAAAACCAATTCCGGATGAATGAGAAATTGCAAACCAAAGTTGAAAGAAATGAAGTGTTATAACTTTTCGAAAGGATGCAGGTTTTGGCCAAGTGTTGCAACTTTTTGAAAGTATGCATGTTTTGGCCCGCACTACTTCATTTGCACCCTTTCTACATCTATAAATAGAACCTTATGGATATGGTTTTGGGTACACCAATTACATTGAGCATTCATTCTCCTCTTGCAATTCTCTCATTTCTAATTCCATAGTATTTTCATGCATTTCCCTTGTAGAGAGGGAATTTCGTTCGAGTTCGCTGGTCGAAGCCATTTGGAGTGCTCATATGTCTTGATGTGGTCGTTGTATCTTGGGAGATGATTGTCGAAAAAATCGTTAGCACCGATGCGGGGCAAATTCATCTTAAGGACCAAGTGTCAAACACTCGCCTTGACAAAAAAATCATAACTTACATATTTCTTCCTACAGTTTTCTAATTTCTTTTGATTATATTTTGATTTCAGAAATGATTAACATTGTTTACATGTTTATGTTATAAGGTTTGATCAAAAGAATAATTTACTTTCGTTCAAGAATCGAAAGGGATGAATCCATATCCATGCATTCAGATTCGGTAACTTTTATGTTTTGCTTCTCAAATCCTATTTCGGTAAGTCAAAATTACGTTTCGATTTCACACAAATAACCGGTATACTTTTGTGAATATAATATACACGTAATCAGTGTAAATTTTCCCAACAATCTTAAGATGAATTTTCTCTTCCTGCATTTATATTTTTCATTATTCTGTTTACATGAACAAAGTATTAAATGGATTGGATGATGCATACATGAGAAACTATTATGTTATTATATGAATTGTGTCTTAAGTGTCCATGCCATCCATTTGTTTAGTACATGATGAAAGTGAAATATTATATATTGCACATGGTTGCAATTGTTAATCAATATATATGGCTGTCAATACGTGTCTTTCCATAAATTAGTCAAGGACCATGAAGTTGGTTTATTTTGAAAAAGTGCATGTGATTTTTAAGGCAATTTATTAAATGATGACTCTTCATTTTCTAAATGCATTTTCAAATCCAAGTTCGTAATCTATCATCAACTTGATTATCCTATCAAATAATATGACATGTATATTTATTTAAATGAGATCTATATATGTTGGTCATTGGTACAACTCTAATGTTATTGGAATAGATGCCAACTAATTGTGAAAGTATATAAACTTTCATGACTATTCCTTTTAGTGGAATATGAAATATGACATGGTAAATTAGTTGGTTAAATTTTTAGTTGGTTAAATTTTCACATCTTGTTGAAATTATACTAACTTTGATTAATGTTGATAGCCTCATTTAATTCTATGGAATTAAGTGAGATGACTTTTATGCTAGTTATATTTGCATAAAGTATGACAAATTGTGATTTGTTCTAGTGGAAATTGCTGCGAAAATATTAAGACATGAAAATACTTTGTAGAGCACAAACTGTGCCTAAAGTTGGCAATAGTGCTGAACTTCCATTAAATTTGGAAAAGTTTGAATGTGAAGATTTAGTTAAATTTCTGACTTCAATAAAATTAAATGGAATGATTTGTGCAAAATTATTTTTGCATAAGAATATGACAAAAATGTAATTTGATTACTTGGAATTGGTGAAAAATTATGTAGAATATTATGAAATATTCTAGGATCAATTTAGATGAAAAGATGCGTCCTTTCATATGAAAAATCGTGACTTTTGGTATGATTAATTTCCAATGGGTGTGTCTCTTTATAGAGATTAATTCAAGAGGTGTGTCCTCTTGAAGGATTCTGTCTTTTGAGAACATAACTTTTCAACCTATGGTTGATTCGTTTGTTCAATTTTGAATATGGTAAATAAGGTGAATATGTACCTTATTATTTGACATGAAATGAAACTATCATGTGAAATGTCACAAATGTAATAAGTTACATATGTTTGGAGAAGTTGCAATTCTTGTGAATCAAGATGCTTAGCCCTCTTCAATGTTGAAATTGACTTCAATCGTGAGACTAATTAAATTGGTTTATGCTTAGAAAGCATTGCTGCTCCATATGATGCCCTTGATTTAATTTGGATGATCAAATTAAAATAATTAGATTGAAATAAATTGTGAGTCGACTACCAATATTTTGAAAGTACTTAAACTTTCACGAAATACTTGATACGGATATTATCTAAGCGATAAACGAATTGAATTATGAAAGAGTTGATGAACTCTAAATTCAAGTATAACCTAAGAATGTGGGGAGTTAAACTTAATGCTTGTGAACTTGAAATGGAAAGTTCAAAACTTGTGGAGGCAACATTACTAGATTGCACATGTACTCCTAATTGAGGAATTGTGGGGTAACTCAGTTTAACAGTTGCATTTGCTTTTATCTTATAATCATAGAAATATATCTATGAAGGTGCAAAGATAGAAAACCCTTATACTAATTATAAGGATGATATACACTAAGTCAAAAGTGGATGAAATGGGTTGTAAAGCTTATTATGGCGTTTGTTTAGACATGTAAGAATAATTGGAATATATGAAGAATATTTATAAAGTTCAAATGCATGATAATGTTTCAATGATGATATTGAATACCCATGATTCGGAAATCCACTAGTAAAAGTTATTGACTAGTGTAGTATTTGATAGAAATCCTTCAACCTTGTTTGGAATTGACAAAGTTTTAGATAAAGCTAATAAAAAGCATGTAGCCTCATGGAAGGATTTCTTGGTGGTGACAATTTGTATCTATTAAATGAAATCGATCGTTTGATAGCAATAATTGATAAGATACTAAGTCACATGTAATGGTAGGTCTAGACGCATAAGTCATAGACATAATACCATTAAGCAATTGATCTCAATGGTCTAAATTCGTGGTACCTTTAAAGAGATTTGCTAAAAGAGATCAAGAATACTGCATATCGAAAGGAATGAGGTAAAGTCTACTACGTTAGAGTCCTTATAATGGTAATCCTATCTTGTTGACTGGAGATCCCAAGATCTTGGTTCAAAGGGACAACTAAGTTATGAGGATTTCATAAAGCACTTAGGAAAAATAATTTCCTAACTCATTCCTATGATATTAAAGTGCTTTCTGCAGAGTTGCAAGAGGTTAAGATAATATTTTAATGATTCCTATATCTTGATTAAGTTAAGTGGAGTAGGGCAAAATACTCTTAATAGGAGGTCACCTATGTGAGTGTGAAATGTGGCCACTTCAATGAGAATTATTCAAGGCTTAAATTTTCTAAACACTCGCAGAACCAAAAAGGGTTCAGGGCCAAAATGAACCAAGTCATGAGAACCATGAACGGTTTAGGGAAGACATTATGTGAGTATCGTTGTCTTGGCTTACACTAAAGGTTGAATGGTTCAAGACATCACGTTCACTAATTAGCCGAGTAAGTCCAATGGTATTTTACTGAGGGAGGTTCAAGGCCAGAAGCTACCTTCCTTGATGCAGTATTTTTTTCACACCCTCTCTACATTGCATCATATCATAGCATTTGCATATGCGTACCCAATTTCCATTCATGTGGGGGATTGTAGGAATTGGTTCAAATAATTAACCAAAAATTGGAAAATGAAAAGGTGTGTAAAAGTGGAAAATGAAAACGAGTGACTACATGTCAACTTCGACCAAATATTCGGACTTAATCCGATGGTCAAATTACAAAAGTAAATAGACCAACTTATTCTACTCGTCGAGTAAATCGTCATTATATATTCGAAATCTCGAAACCAATTTCGGATGAATGAGAAATTGCAGACCAAATTTGGAAAAAATGAAGTGTTGTAACTTTTCGAAAGGATGTAGGTTTTGGCCAAGTGTTGCAACTTTTTGAAAAGATGCATGTTTTGGCCTGCACTACTTCATTTGCACCCTTTCTACATTTATAAATAGAATCCTATGGACATGATTTTGGGTACACCAATTGCATTGAGCATTCATTCTCCTCTTGCAATTCTCTCATTTCTAATTCTATAGCATTTTCATGGTTGTAGAGGCATATCTACGAGCTGGAGAAAAAGGTTCCAACATGTGCTAGCCTACACTTACAGTTGCAGTAAAGGTATTAAATTTAATCTATATTAAAAACATCTATGCTTTTGAAGTTATTTCTCGTTGGTATCGACAAAGTGTGGTTTTCTGAAAGAAAATATTGTTGATTGCTTTGTCCAAGGTTTAAGGAGAAAATAGCTAAAAGCCTTAGGTTGGAAGCACATATTATGAGCCACATCCGAAAAAAGACAAAAAGGGAAAAAAATCATGTCTTAAGGATTCACATATCAAAGAGAAATTAAATCAAGTTTAGTGTATGGATACAATTTCATTGACATATTTTGAACTTTCAAGTTGCAAATGAGGCACCAAAAAGCTACATTCCAAGTCGATTATCAATCTTTAAATGCCAATATGTCCTTTAAGTTATGCAAATTTGTGATAGCAAGGCTTTATCACTACAACAAAAATAGCATTTTGCAATGTTCAAAAAATGTTGCTAAAGACATTTTGCAACATTTGGATGTATGTTGCAAATCTATGACAACGTTTTTTGACTGTTGCCATAGGTCCTTTTTTTTTTACAACAATTTATGTAAATTGACTCGCAAAATTAAAAATGATTCATTCTGAACAAATTTTGAAATTGCATAAAAATTGATAATTCAATTACAAATTTTTTAATCCATACACTTGAACATTAGAATGTGATACAACACAACCTAAATAAAAAAAAAGTTTCAAAATGAAATAAAATCGAGAATAAAATTTTAATACAGCTTATACATCTAGCAACATCTGGTTATCACATTCTGCTCAAACTGCAACAACACACTCAGATTGTTTCAGGTGCACCTTCAGAGCCACTGATCCCCCCATAGATTGTTCGAACAGAAAACTTGGCAAAGCACGAAATTCTGGTAATAACCTGGACAGTCATGGCAGCAAAACCACACTTAGTTAAATACACAGGACCCGAAAAACCTCACACAAATGAGGACGACGGCTAAATGGGGGGAAAAGAAAATGAATAACAAGTAAAAAATTATAATAATACTTCCAAAAGCTAGGGACAACCTATCCAGACGATATATACCAACTGAGGAAAAAATTGAACGTAATCATAAGGCCTGTATATCTACATTAAAGATGACAGCTTATACAGAGAACTATAACAAAATTTATAAAAAAAAAATAGCAAGTTCACATGATGTTCAAGGTGATGAAATTCCATAAAAGAAAAAGAATAGTTGGACAAAGTCATGAAGATAAATACTCCTCACTACTTAATGCACTTGCAGACTACAACTCCAAGAAGGAAAACTAAGAGCTATTTCTAGTTGCTTGCATATTTAGATTACCACTATTTCTCATATAAAAGAACAGAGCAGCAAAGTATTATAATAGCATAACAAAAAAAAAAGGGAAGGAGGAAATCCTAACCAAGCTTTCTTCCAACAAGAATTACTGGAACTCCCGGAGCATAATGCCTCAATTCAGGAATCCACTGAACATCAAAAGATAAGCGTACAAAAAACCATAAGCATTATGCTATCTAAGCCATTTCTCTTGTTGTTGCAGAGGAAAGGAATGCACGAAAGGGCAATATTCATACTAAAGTGGTGAAGCCACTCTTACAGAATTTGGAGATGTTCTCGTAGCTGGTCTTGCTAACAAGAGAAAATGCAAGAATAAAACATCAGCCCCATGATAGCTCAATGGTCTTAATCTATTATAATCATCCTGACCTGCTCAACAAGATAAGTGCCTAAGGTACTGTACAATAAATGGTGTAAAGATGAATAAGAAAACATAGAAGACTATATGGTTATGCATTCATATGCAGTTTATGAAACATACTATGAACCAAAGGAACTCAGTTATTTACAAGTGTACTTATGCTATTTAACAGTCATTAAACTTCAATAGCTCCATGACACCATTACAACTCCAAAACCTGACATATTTGACTACAAGGCACCACAACCTCCAATGCAATATCACTTGGTATTATGGAATCATAGTCTTAACATCTCTGTATCCATGACTTCCAATATCAAACATATACTTAATTTTGATTTCTTGATTTCACAAACCCACATAGACACACGCAACTCTATTCTCCAGAAAACTCAAAGCAAGTGTGCTAGTGAAAATGAGCAGCTTTCAATGTTTACACATGCTAATCTATAGAAAAACTTCTTCAAATAGCGGCCCAACAACTCAAAAATATGATCAAATGAGGTCAAATTAAATAGGCAATCATATGGAAAGACTCACAATTTAATCAACGCAGATCCATTGATAAAATTGACTTACCCACGCATAAATATTCAACATTTATTTTATGATAAAGTAAATAGAAAGATCATGAGGAAAGAAAGAGTACCAGGTAGTGAAGGGCTTGAGAAATTAAGCGACAGTACAGGCGAGAAAGGCTGAAACAAGAGGGAGGTTGGCAAGGGAGGAAGGTCCAGAGTACGACTGAAGGCTCGCCGCAGCATCAGGATTAGAGGTAAAACAGTAATTTAGTTCTGGGCTTTATCGATTTACTTCTAAAATGCAAAAATCATATTCATAAAGTGACTTCAATTGTTAACTCTTTGCTTTACTAATGCAGACCCTGTGTTCAACAAAAACTGTGTCCATCCATTTGGAAATGAACACAACTCTCTGACATATAATACATATCTCAAGAATTACGAGCCTCCTTTATATCATTTTTAGTTAAAGCGTGCGACATTTTGTGAAAATGTGGACTCCAAGCTCTGCTGCTGGCTATTGTGTTCTAGGGCTTGAAGTTACTACCAGCTGCGTGAGTGCGTGACCTGCGTCTAGGGCTTGATGCTCGAACATTGGAGGCCGATGGTGGTGGAAATGTCAAATGTAGAATCGATTCGTCCCTGAGCAGTGAGCGGCAGATCGAAACGTCCCTGAGAAGCTCAACTTCGCGTCGAGGCCAACAGAGAAGGAAGGAGTGGAAGTGGACGAGAACTTGGGAAGAATGGATTGAAAATTGGGTAGGATTCGTTGGAATGGATTAATGGAACCTTTATTATTATTATTATTTTATTTTTCTAATTTTTTTCATTTATTATAATTGTTTAATTTTTCCAAAAGATATTTTTAAACGTTGCGAAAGGCAAAAGAAGGAAAAACCTTTCGCAACGTTTTAAAAACGTTGCGAAAAGCAAAATTTTTGCAACATTTAAAAAACGTTGCGAAAGGCAAAATCTTTCGCAACACTAAATAAATGTTGCTAAAAGCAATATTAGCATCATTTATTTACAAAATGTTGTCAAAGCTCAGTTATATTAACTTTTGGCAACATTCACTTATTAAAATATTGCCATAGGCCCCTTTGGCAACACTTATTGATGAATGTTGCCTTTTTAATGTTGCAAAAAGTGATTTATGTTGTAGTGTTATATTGATTTAGGTTTCAATATGTTTTGAACAGCGCTGCCTTATTGTGAAGGCCAAGTATTGGAGTATTACAATTTACAAACAACAAACTAAGCATTTTCTTCTTGATCCATTTGGTTTATTGGTTTGATCGATGGTAAGATCCAAAGCAATTATTTCTACAGCTAACCGCGATCGATTGTTTAAGTATCTAGGCATTAAAATTTTCAATAAATAATATAAAAAAAATATCCCGTTGAGTAAGCAGAACCATTAGTCTTATATAGAATGATGTATTCTAGCTAAATCGTCATGCTAGGTTCATCCCCTAGGATATTTTGATGCTTCTTCCCAATCTTATTCGTATTAAGAATTTTGTTGTGAATTTATCAGGTCCATTTGTGGGAATCTCATTGGAAGGAAATATTGTTGCTACAAGAAGATAGACAAAATCTCCAATGTTATGGCGATTCATACCTCACCACAACTGATATCCTTCTTGGGATAGTCAACAGACCAAAATTTGTTGAACCTTTATCTGCTGCCATCCGAGAACTGCATGCTAGTTTTGGCTGGCCCATGCCACTAATGGATTCCTCACTATGTGCATGGTTCTGTTCTCTTCTGTATAGCTGAATTCCTTTTTTATTTTTTTATTTTTTTTTTATGGGCATTATTATTTTTATGCCCATATGATTATTAATTGTTGTTCTAGGTATGTATAAAATTGTAGTATAGGTACTACAAAAAATTAGAAATAAAACAGAACGAAGAAGAAGAAAGAAGACAATTTGAGGAAAGTGATGACACTTTCTCCTTAAGACAATATTGCCCTGCTATAGTGCTTACGGTTCACTACACTTGTCTCGCAATACACAACATATTCAATCTTGTGGTAATAGCACTTCAAACCACAAGAAAACGGCGAACTTCCGACAGAGTTCTCTCTCTACAAGGGAATTTGGAGAGTGTTTGCAAGATATATATGGAATGCTCAATGCAAATATGAGATGGTAAGGACTTCCAAGGGGTCATGTTTATAGAAGATAAGGGGTTGTGGACAAAGTGGTGTAGGTCAAACCTTGCAACCTTTCAACATGCTTTGTTGCTAGCTTTCCGTTGGGCTCTCACTCAAGCAAAAGTGTCAAAATTTTTATAGAGACTTTTTCGCTCGCTTTTCACTAGACTGTTGCTCGAGCGATAGTCAAGTAAGTCTTTTTTCCCTATTTTCTTCCCAATGTTGGACCGCAATTTCTCATTCATTCGGAATTGATTTTATTATTTCAAATATATCACGACGATATACTCGAGAGTAGAACAAATTGGTCAATTTACATTTGTAAGTTAATCGAATCAAGTCTGAATATTTGACCGAAGTTGACACGAAAGTCACATTTCCAACTTTGGTTTTTTAACACTTCAATTTTCCTTGATTTTAAACCAATTTCCAACATTATTTAATTGTGTTTATTTTTTATTTCTCTTTTCAGTTTATTTATGGTTTTAATTAAATGTGAATTTGTTTATAACTGGAAAGCATTTGGCAGTAGCACACCTGTCGTTCCCTCTTTCTTCACAATTATTGACGTTATTTATTGAAACAAGTGGACAAAGGCATACAAATTTCGAAAAGAAAATTTGTACAAGCTTTTAGAGGGCAAATTAAGGTTGAAAAACTAAATTTATAGGCAATGTTCTGAAACTTGCCGATCGACTTGTTCAATCCCAAAAATCGAGATTTCGATCGAAAACCCTATTCCAATTGTATGATATTCAAATCGGTTCGTGCAATCGAAAATTTGAATAATTTGTTGTGCTCTTATTTTAGAAAATAACTAAATACGTCTTTCAACTTCGGTGAATGAATTTTAGTGAAATTTTAATTAGGTTATTCAACTCTAATATTTCTTATTCAGATCACTAAAATTTAATTTACTCTCAATACTCATTTATTTAGTATATTTATGGTAATAATTCTCCAATATTATTAATAAATTACATTAACTCTCTTTACAATCTTTTTCATAGTATGATTGTCAGTCCTCGAACTTCAAAAGTAGGATTTTGAATTCTCAATCCAGTTAGAATATAAATATATGTCCTTACATGGGTGAAAACCTTCCCTTCTTTGGACTGAAAAATCATTTATTAATCTTTTAAAAATTTTCTTCGATTGAACTGAAAGTCGCATTCAATTTCAATATTCACATTGACTATTTAGATCTTGCAAGATTCAAATTCACATATTAAAATAAAATTAAGAACCTAAAAATTTACCTTCGAAAAGTGGAGATCCATAATTATAACACATGAAAGGGTAGGGGCTCGACACTAATTTACCCTAATAATGTGGAATTATTATTATAGCCCAAACGTTTCATCTCCACACAATCAAAATCTATAAAACTACTTTATATCCTTATCGGTTACGTAATATTTGCATAAAATGACAGTTACAGCTGAGCAATGGAGTCTGGCGGGGTTTATTTACGAATTTCATGTGAAAATTAATTTTATTATTTGCAATCTGAACCCAAAAAAAGAAGCGATAAGCAGGTGAATTACAGAAGAGAAGAAGACAGAAAGAAGAGGTATTCACTGTCGCTTTCGCAAGTCTGTGACGCCTCATAAGAATTTCGTGAATACCATACCAACCAATTTTTTTCTATCAATTTTTGTTTTTTGCTCTTAATTTTTACTTTGAATAAATTTTCAGGCGCCGCTAAAAATTGCTCCAATTTAAGCTGTACAATTTCATTTTCCCTTTTTGTTGTTAATTTTGGACTTTCCTGAACCTTAAATTTGTTCCATTAGGTGTGTGAAATTTTTACGAATAATTAGTATTTTTGGCAGAATATGAAATTTTGAAGAAATTGTTTCTGGGTATTTTGATTTTTTGAATTATCTCAGTTGTTGTTCCTCCCCGATTAGTATATGAAGAACTACCATATTTCATAAAATTGTAGTGGCTAAAGGTTATCTAAAATTGCAAAGTTGTTCAATTTGTTGTTTTTCTCCTGTTTTGCTTGTACGGTTGGTGCTCGCCCACTGTTTATACCGTTTCCAGTTAAACTTTTTAGTGCAGAATTATTCAAGGGATCTTTACATGAGCTGATACCTTTTCATTTCTAGGAAAATCCACCTAGGTAGGCCAGGGCTGATGATCAATTGACAGGTATCAGTATGTATCACTTTATATACATTCATGGGTACTACTGATAATAATAAATTTTCCGAGATAGTTGACATAGTGAAATCATGGATATCACGAAGGCCTGAGCACGTGGATATGTCCAGGAATTTTTGGATGCCCGACGAGAGCTGCAGAGTGTGCTACGAGTGTGATTCTCAATTCACCATTTTTAACCGTAGACATCACTGCCGATTGTGTGGACGGGTTTTCTGTGCCAGATGCACTGCTAACTCTGTTCCTGCCCTCTCTGATGAACCTAGGAGTGCAAGGGAAGACTGGGATCGAGTTAGAGTTTGTAATTACTGTTTCAAGCAGTGGGAGCAAGGATTTGCTGCTGCTGGTAATGGTATGACTTCATCAAGTCCGCGACTGAGTCCATCTTCCTCCACTACTAGTTTGGTCAGCATTCAATCTAGTTGCCACACTTGTAACAGTAACAGCAGTGCTGGTTCAGCTGCATGTTCTACAGGGTCATTCCAGCATGTTCCATATAGCGCTTGTCATATCTCTGGTCATTCTGCTCAAACGGATTCAAATCCAGTCAAGCAAGATCTGGTAACAAGTCCTGCAAATTTGGGAAACATTGATGCAAGGGATATTTTCTGTGACCAGTTTGGATCACCCAGCAGGTATTCTCTCAACATATTTGAGGCAAGAAAACAGCATTATCATTGCATACACCGACGCAGTTTGTTTGGTTCAGTCAGGTCTATCCTATGGAATTGTTTAAATAGCGTTTTGCCCATCTTTCTTTAAACTCAATTAGAATGAAGTGATATGTTGCCTAACACTGCTATTCGAAAGTATTTAACAAAATCCCTTTGCAACCCCCCCCCCCCCCCCCCCCCCCAACTATAATATAAAGCTTTTGTCACCTTTCTTCATTGCCAATGCTTTATGATCACATGGTTCATGTTCACATTATATTCTGTTCGTATGGTACTTGTGCTAGACTTCTAAGTAAAGATCTTTTAGGATACGTTGCATTGTTTTACATGTATGCAAATTTTCGTACTTATTGAGTGTTTTGATTGAAACTTATCTTTGATGGACCAACATTTCGCAATTACTGCTAATATTTATTTACTGCTTATTGCTTCATTTATGATTATAGGAGTGATGACGAGGACGATGACTACTCTATATACAGATCACATTCTGAAGTAAATCCATTATCTCGTGCTGACATATGTTATGATGCTATCAACTATGGTGAGATTGATAACATCTATGAGCCTCATGAAGTGCAACCTCATACGGAAAGTGCTGATCCAACTCGTATAAATTCTGATCTGTTGTTGCCTGAAAATTTTGAGACACAGAAATTGGATGAAGTGGCAAAGGTTGGGGAAGAAACAGATAAACAGAATCATGGCGTTGAGTCTGGACAGCCTCCTTTAGATCGGTTTAATGGTACAAATGTTGAACCTGTGAATTATGAAGATAATGGTCTACTTTGGCATCCTCCGGAGCCTGAAGATGAAGAGGACGAGAGAGAACCCTTTCTGTTTGATGACGATGATGGTGTTCGTGAGGATTCTACAGGAGAGTGGAGTTACCTACGTTCAAGTAGCTTTGGTAGTGGGGAGTCCCGAAGTAGGGATAGATCAAATGAGGAACATCGGAAGGCCATGAAAAAAATAGTTGATGGGCATTTCAGAGCTTTAATAACTCAACTTTTGCAGGTTGAGGACCTACCTGTAACTGAGGATAGTAATCAGAAAAGTTGGCTAGATATTATTACTGCATTATCCTGGGAAGCTGCTACTTCTTTAAAGCCGGATACAAGCATGGGGGGAGGTATGGATCCTGGAGGGTATGTGAAGGTTAAATGCATAGCTTGTGGACATCGGAATGACAGGTGTCTTCATTTGACTTTGCATGCCATTTCTCTTACAAGCCAGCTTAACCCATTTAGTGAACATGATATGCATTTGAGACTCCATCTAATTCTTAATCACTCCAAAAAAAAAAAATGTGATTTGTTCTTTTATTTTTTATGGTCATCACTTGTAAATTAGTTGAGTAGCTCAGAAGTTACTGGATTCTTTGTATTGAAGGAGGTAAAATTTATTTCCAAGTGTACCACAATCTGGCTTGTGTGTTTTGGACATAAAATTTTGTTGAGTTTCAAAAATGAAAAAATGTATAAAGAGTTCTGGACCTCAGTGGGAAGACTGGAAGGAAATGATCCTAGTTCCTGACTCAAGGCAACTGACGAATGGCTTCATAAATGTGTGTATAATATTGGCGCCATCTACTATTTTGCCATTCTGATCAGATTCTCTTTGTTTTTTCACCAGTACGGTAGTTAAAGGGGTTGTTTGCAAGAAAAATGTGGCTCATCGGAGAATGATTTCAAAAGTAGATAAAGCAAGACTACTACTGCTTGGTGGTGCCCTGGAGTACCAACGGGTTGCTAACCACTTATCAAGTTTTGATACTTTATTGCAGCAGGTTGTGATTGGAATGTCATCTCTTGGTTTCTGAATTATAAACCACTTTTTATTTTTCACGCTTGATTAAGATGGAGATATTTTTATTGGTTTCTTTGTATTTGGTGCTCATTTTACCAGCTTTTTAGTGATATATTGGTTTATTGCTCTTACGGGCTTTTGCTTGTTTCAGGAAATGGACCATTTGAAAATGTCTGTTGCAAAGATTGATGCGCACCATCCCAATGTTCTTTTGGTAGAAAAATCCGTATCTCGATATGCACAAGATTATCTTCTCGCTAAAGACATATCTCTTGTTCTTAATGTCAAGAGAGCGCTTTTACAGCGTATAGCCCGCTGCACGGGTGCAGATATTGTTCCTTCAATTGATCATCTTACAGATCCAAAATTGGGATATTGTGACTCATTTCATGTGGAAAAGTTCCTGGAAGAACATGGAAGTGCTGGGCATAATCGAAAGAATTCAACAAGGACGCTAATGTTTTTTGAAGGCTGCCCAAAGCCACTGGGATGTACTGTAAGTTTCGAAACAGTTTCCCTAATTGCATGCAAAGATTCTTTTTAAGCATATTTGACTTCAAGAATGAAAATTTAGAACTTTCTGAGGAGCAATTTGCAACTAATGCGTACATGTGACCACTTGATGTTGTAAATCTTGCAGCGGTTTTTGTTAGTTGCTTTTACAAATCATTTGAAGTTTATATTTTCCGTTAAGGAATTACATGTGATAAGACAATATATGAGTAATTATAGTTGGAGGAGAAAATATTCAATTCTCTTACTTTTTGTTGAATAAGTTACATCTTTAAATAGAGTACAGGAAATGACTTAATAGTAAACTAACTGAACTGATTTCTAGGATCTGCAAATATATTTTACAGCTCTACGTTCTACAAGTTTCAACAGGCCAGCATTGAGCGTATAGCTTCTTTAAATAGTTCACAAATATACATCTTGTGAAGTGAAAATTCCTGGTCTAGATCGAGCTACCTCGATACCTATGCAGTATATAAGTTTTTCTAGTCCTAGTCCTCAATCTTGAATTCATTTGCTAAATATGCCTTAAAAACCATGATTTCTCACGATTATCCCTTGTCACAATCATGTTATCGATTTACGTAGATGATCGAAGTTGAATGTTGGGTATGATCACCTTGACTTAAGCAGAATCCTTTCATCAGTATAGCCATTGTAAATCTTCCAGACCAAGCTCAAGGTGAGTGTTTGAGACTATAACTTTCAAAGTTTACACGCCTTCCTTTTTAATGATTATTTCTCATAGCCAAGAGGGATATCTATATACACTTCTATATTGACGTCACCATGAAGGAAATTTTTCTGCACATCATATTGTTGGAAAATCCAGCCCAGATATGCAACTGTTGACAACAAATTCAGATGGTATTCATATTATCCATGGGTGCATTAAGTCTCTTGTAGTCGACCAGACAAGCCTTGTACCTCTCTAAGATGCAGTCGTCCTTGAACTTGATGATAAAGATCTACTTATAGCATACTGTACTTTTTCCTTTTGGAAACTCCAATATCTCCCAACTCTGTTTTTTCTCTAAGGGTTTCATCTCTTCATCCATGACTTCTCTCCCGACTTTTTGCTATCAAAGCTTCTGAAAGTGTAGCTGGAGGGATTATATCTGTGTTAAAAACTTAAAAGAAGGCAATAAGTTCTGGAAAGAAACATATAATGAGACATCAGATGTTGCTCCAGTTCCTTTTCACAGAGCAATTGGCAGGTCTAAGTTTTCGTCAGTATCAGTAATATGATTGCTACTCTATTGCCTTCCACAGGTTCAACATTTGGAGCATGCGAGCTGTCAATTATTCCCTTATTTTTTTTAATTTTTTTATTATTATTATTATTATTTTTTTTTTTGTAGAATTAGTTTTTGTTACAAGTGGAAGGATCTTATGTTGGAATCATATGAATGGACATTTGACTCGTAAGACCAGGGTTGAAGGGCATGGGGTTTAGGCTGTGATCATAATGCCATGTAGAATTATAGAAGAAAATATTTAACTATTAAACCTTTTTTTGAATGAGTTGCAACTTTAAGTAGAGAACAGAATGACTGAATGGGAAATTAACTTAATGGTGTGGTTTCTAGGATTTGACAATATACAAAATTACTCTGTGCATGGAGAGTAATATACATATAAACTAAAAATACAATAGACTCAACTCTTCCAAGAATTACAATTAGGTAGTCTTATATACTATGCCCTATCTTTTCTTAAAATTGGATGTAGTGTCTGAACATGTGGGGATTGTATCTTCTCTACTCTTTTCATTTCATTTTTCTATTAACTTCTCTCTACTATTCTTGTCAACTTTTTTCTCAAGATGCTTTTGCTTTTCTGTTTTTTTTGATGGGGCTGGGGAGGGTTTGTTCTTTCCAAAATTGGATAGTGGCTTAGAATTTTCCATCTAACTATTTACTTATTGAAAAAAAAAAAAATGTGTTGGCAACTCTGGAGGATTTATTTTATTACTGAACTCATGTATAAGGACTCCGGTTTAAAATTTTACTTGACAATTTCTCTGAAGTTTGTTTCTAGCGTAAACTGCTAGATAATGGAGTTGAAAATCAAGTAGGATTATTGTGTAATTGGTCCTCCGTTGAATGTTTATCTTTACCCATTGTATCTAAATTTTGCCTCATTACCTGCCAATTTCAGAAGATAATTAAGATACCATCTTTGAATGTTTTGTTTTAGATTCTTCTTAAAGGTGCCAGTGCAGATGAGTTGAAGAAAGTTAAACATGTAGTCCAGTATGGTGTTTTTGCTGCTTATCACTTAGCTTTGGAGACCTCTTTTCTTGCTGATGAAGGTGCTTCGCTGCCAGAATTCCCGTTAAAGTCTCCAATGAAAATTGCTTTACCTGATAAACCATCAAATATTGATAGGTCCATTTCTACAATACCTGGATTTGCTGTGACTGCCAAGGAAAAGCCTCAGGGGCCTAAATTGCCCGACCATCTAACATTTCAATCCAGAAATGACCTGTTCCTAGATATTACACAATCATCAAAAACTGTTCCCATGTCTGAGGCACAATCTCCTCTTTCTGAAGCTTCTAATGCTCAAATTTTAAATACCAAATGTACACCACATCCTTTAAGGTGCAACTTCCCAGGTCATCAGCAGGCCCAGGTCACTGCTGACCATGCTTCTGAGGAGAACAATGGGATGGCTCCCAATGAATATTTTGTCTCTAAAACATCATCAGATCATATTGATGAAAAGGGGAGTAGAGATAATTTAGTTAGTAATTGTTTGCTCAATTCTGAGAATTCAGGACAAAGTTCTAGTTGTTCTCATGTTGACAGATATTCGGGACAGCATAATCTTCATCAACTCAAGGAGATAGGATCTGTGAAAGAAGAGTTCCCCCCTTCACCTTCAGATCATCAAAGCATTTTGGTCTCCTTGTCAACACGCTGTGTGTGGAAACGAACTGTGTGTGAACGTGCCCATCTCTTTCGTATCAAATACTATGGAAGCTTTGATAAGCCTTTGGGTCGGTTTCTTCTAGACCATTTGTCTGATAAGGTATTTCTCGCATTATACACAAACACATGCATTCGCTCATATGTCTGCATATTTTTTGTATGCAGAAATTGAGTATCTGATTTCTATTTTAAAGGTGTACCGGTGCCGCTCGTGTGAAATGCCGTCAGAAGCGCATGTTCATTGCTATACCCATCAACAAGGCAGCCTTACCATTTCTGTGAGGAAGCTTCTAGAATTCCTGTTGCCAGGTGAACGAGAAGGAAACATTTGGATGTGGCACCGATGTCTACGGTGTCCTAGGACCAATGGTTTCCCTCCTGCCACAAAAAGAGTGGTAATGTCGGATGCTGCTTGGGGATTATCTTTTGGGAAGTTTTTGGAGCTCAGCTTTTCAAACCATGCTTCTGCAAGCAGGGTTGCAAGCTGTGGTCATTCCCTGCATAGAGATTGCCTCCGGTTTTATGGGTATGCATTTATCTATCTCAGTGAATTACAACACTGTGCTCAGGGCCTGAGGTAACTGATTGGCCTTTCTGTAAGGACTGATTAAAAGAGTGAAAGCTGAAATCTGACAATTGACAATATACTGAAATTCACAACATGATTGTTACTCATTATATTTTGATGATGAAAATGGTCGGTATTTGATGAGTAAACTAATATTCATGTTCCAAATTATTTAAATGCCAAACTGAAGAAATTGATGAAGTTAAAATCCAATTGTAGGTCTGTGATATGAACATCAGTGTCGGCATCAAATAGAACTTAAAATTCTTAATCATGTCCTGTAAAATGCTCATCCTTGTCTCTTGAAGATAATCCTTCTATATAATGCTGGTAAACAAGCTTTCAGTGACACTTTAATTGGAATGCCGATTATCTTTCAGCATCTTGTTCTACTTTGCTGTATTTCTGTTAAGACTGTTTATCTAGTTAAGATTCCGTGCATACTTGTGTTCCTGTCTGATCCTTAATTTTTGGTCTTTTGACATGGACCTCCTCAAAACTATAACTAAATATATCCTCATCTTATTGCAGACGATTAGGCATTTTGGATCTGTTCTTTCATTTGAAATCCTTGAATTGATGTGTTTTTAGCTGTTAGTCTAGTCAAGATTGCATATCTACTCGAGTTCTTAGCGCCGATGGTTAAATAGCTTTTGTCTGTATGTTAATTGTTTTCATGAATAAATGCAGAGATTGACTGCTTTTGCTTGCATAAATCTTTCACCAAGGTCCAAGTTATGCTTACTGGCTGCTTCTTCTTCTTCTTTTTTTTTTTTTTTTTTTTTTTTTTTTTTTGTTTGCTGGTGTCCAAGTGCTCAATAACTTTGCTGTTTTTGACATGCAGTTTGGGAAGGATGGTTGCATGTTTTCGATATGCACCAATTGATGTTCTCTCTGTCCACCTTCCACCCTCAAAGCTGGAATTTAATTATGATAAACAGGAGTGGATACAGAAAGAAGTTGATGAGGTGAAATTATTTAAATTTATGCACTCATTTGCCTCATTGCCATAGTTTACATTTCTTGTTGAGTGATTATATATTGCATAACACAGGTTAGAAGCAGGGCAGATCTGCTCTTTTCTGAGGCGTTGAAAATTCTTCATCAGATGTCAGGAAAAAACTCGAACAAGTCCAGCATGGAAGCACCTGAATTAGGTGAACAGATTTCAGAACTAGAAGTCTTGCTGCAGAAGGAGAAGGAAGAATTTGAGGTGTTTTCTTGTTGAACATTCCCTGACTATTTCTGCCAATATACCAGACTTTGTAGTTCTTTATGTGATAATTTAAACTTCATTAACAGAATTAAAGTTCTCGTATTTCATTTTCTTTCTTGAAGTTAACCCTAACCATGAGTTCTACAATTTTTGTTTGCTAATGTTATTTCCTTTAGACAACTTCTTGTTATTACTGCTTCTTGAGCTAATGTTTTGGCATTAGAACCTAGACTGATGCATCACGTCTTCTCCGATTTTTACTGGGTGTGAATGATCTGTCAAAAAGATGGATTCTGTTTTTTGCTGCTAGAACACCTGTTGCCAACTTGATGCAGGAACATGATTATTTACTTCTGGTAACTGTTTCTCTAATTAAAGTCATGTTGCTTAGGAATCATTTCAGCACTTGCTTTATAGGGAGGTTAAAGCTGGTCAGCCTGCAGTTGACATTCTCGAGATCAATCAATTAAGAAGGCAGCTAGTTATGCATTGTTATGTCTGGGACCAGCGGTTGATACATGTTTCTAGATCTGATGTACATGGATCAAAGCTTAAACAAAAGTTTGTCAATTCTAGAGAGATGCCTAGTGAGATAGATGTAGCTTCCAGGGCTAGCAGAGGCTTCAGCAGTCGGGATTCTTCTCATTCCTCTCTTTCAAGTATGGAACTTGACATGATGCAAACTCAGGTAGGATATAGCCCAAATAACTTGCTTAATGAGATTCATAGAGGGGTGGACCTAAATCGAATTCTGAACCATAGAAAAAATGCTGATGTTTCTTGTTCTTCTGACACACATACAAATAATCAGTCAGATCTGCAGAAATCTGGAAAAACTGTGCGAAGGGCTCAATCAGGAGGAGGATTCGCTGTTCTGGAATCTTCATCTGCTACTTCAGATTCTGCATGGATTGGTGATCACCAGATTGCAACTGTAGCTTCCAAGGAAAATGGTATTTCACTTCCTGATTCGCTCCCCAGAGCATCTTTTTCTGGCAAGACACCACCCAGGGAAGAATCTGGTGTTGGGAACTGTACAAATGATCAATCTGTGGCTGAAGTGACTCCTGGAAATGGATTTGCATTATCTGTAAAGGGGCATAATGATCTCGAAAATTCCAGTGGTTGGATGTGGATACCCTTTTTGACTTTTCATTACTCATTTAACAAGAATTCTTCAACAAATGCATTTAAACTTGGTAAGATTAGTGATTATAATCCTGCCTATATCTCAACATTGCGAGAGTTGGTACATCAAGGTGGTATTAGGTTGCTGCTACCCATGGCTTCTGAAGACACTGTTGTGCCAGTTTTTGACGATGAGCCTACTAGCATCATTTCATATGCCCTTGTCTCCCCAGACTACCAAAACTTTATGTCTGAGGAACTTGGAAAGCAGAAAAACTCTGTGGAGTCCTCCACTTCGTTATCATTCTTGGACTCAGTGAATTTACTTGCACTTCAATCTTTTAGCGATGCAGCACCTGAATCTCTACGGAGTCTTGCATCTGCTGATGAGAGCATCTTATCCAATTTTGGATCCCGGAGTTTCGCAAGTTTGGATCCCCTTTTATTCACAAACACTTTGCACGCAAGGGTAGATTTTTCGGATGACGGTCCTCAGGGGAAGGTGAAATATTCTGTGACTTGTTACTTTGCAAAGCAATTTGAGGCCTTGAGACGGACTTGTTGCCCAAGTGAGTTAGATTTCATCCGCTCTCTTAGTCGCTGTAAGAAGTGGGGTGCACAGGGTGGCAAGAGCAATGTCTTCTTTGCCAAAACGTTGGATGATCGATTTATTATCAAACAGGTGACAAAGACTGAGTTAGAGTCGTTCATTAAATTTGCACCAGATTATTTCAAGTATTTATCTGAATCCCTAAGTACTGGATGCCCCACTTGCCTGGCAAAGATCTTAGGCATCTATCAGGTATTAGCTTTTATGAACCTTTTCATTCACGTAGTTTTTTCATTAACAGATACTTTTCATGATTTTCATTTAGTTGCTCATATTTAACCTCCCAAATTATTTTGAAGTTGAGTTCATAAAACTTCCATCCTAATTTATAGAATTTCTAGTGCCTCTTTTAAGGAAAAAAACTTTGCATGACTTTTCCTCTGTGTCTGTGCTTTCCAAAGCTTTTGAGCCACATATCTTCTTCATATGTTAAGAATTTATGTAATCATACTTAGCTGATCTTTTTGGTTGATTGGTGGTCACTTAATAGGTGACGTCAAAACATCTTAAAGGGGGGAAAGAGTCAAGAATGGATGTTTTGGTGATGGAGAATCTTCTTTTCATGCGCAACATCAAGAGACTATATGACCTTAAAGGATCATCTCGATCACGGTATAATCCAGATTCAAGTGGAAGCAATAAAGTTCTGCTGGATGAAAACCTGATCGAAGCAATGCCCACTTCCCCAATTTTCTTGGGAACGAAGGCCAAACGGTTGTTGGAGAGAGCTGTGTGGAACGATACTTCATTTCTTGCTGTAAGATTTTGATTAATTTACTGTCATGCTATCAAACGTGTTAACGTCAAGTCTAGATTTTCATGTGGGTTGAATTTATTTATTTATTTATTTATTATTATTATTATTTTTAATTCTAGGGATGGGTTAATTAGGTTGGGGGCCATTCTCACTTCCATTGCATTGACACGGTTATGGGGTTAATAGTTTGACTGGATTGATAACACCTTTTCCCTTAATAATCCTCGTATGGAGACTGCTAGAGGAATTTCAAGTATTTCTGTTTTGAGATTCTGATTACATTTCATAGTATACAATGGACATTTTCAACGTTCTCTGTGTAATTTCTGGACTCGTGCTAATGTAGTCTTATTTATGATGCTCCTACAGTCAATAGATGTGATGGATTACTCACTACTCGTTGGTGTGGATGAGGAAAAGCACGAGCTGGTGCTTGGTATTATTGATTTTATGAGGCAGTATACATGGGACAAGCATCTTGAAACGTGGGTGAAGGCATCAGGCATTCTTGGAGGACCCAAAAATGCATCTCCAACAGTAATTTCTCCGATGCAATACAAGAAACGGTTTAGGAAAGCTATGTCTGCCTATTTTCTAATGGTGCCTGAGCAATGGTCTTCCTCAGCGATCATTCCGGGGGCAGCCCAGTCGGACCTAAGTGTAGAAGAAAATTCAGAAGAAGCCTCCATAAAATTATAGCTTACGCCTCTATAATTTGAAGATGTCTTTTTCTTTTCTTAGTCACAATTCTTTAGGTAAATACCTAGGCATATGCCTGTTTTATACCCAGCAGCAGAAGAAAATTTACGCAGTCTGTTCATTTGATTACATTTTCAAGCGTCAATTGTACTTTGAAGTCATGTATGTATTCATGATATTTCTTTCTTAAATTACTTCGTCTTTATTTTTGGATTATTGGCTGTCCAATGAGCTCAGGTGGACATTCTGTTGTTCCGCTCCTTAAGTGTGCATATGCTAAAGTACTCATTGGGCACCAGTGGTTGTTGCCTGAGCAATGCTACATTAAAGATATGGAAATTGTTGAACTCTTCGAAAAGATGTTAGGACAAGAACGAACCATCAATACCGCTACAACAAGAAGAACAAAGAGGATGATATAATCTTGAATCACGAGTTAAAACTATTCTAAAATCGTTATTTGCTCCCTCATCGAAATTTGTTTTAGGTGCTAATTTCATCCACATGTTCATAACCACAACTCAGTATTACTATTCTTCTTCATCAAAATTTGCCGAACAATGGCTTAATGAAATCTGAAATTTGATTTCCTTAATCTTTCCCATGTATAGAGGTACACAGTTAAAGTTAAAGGTGTAATACAATTTTATCGTAAATAGGATAGAATTTAATTATTATTACAGTGAGATTTTCTTCATTTCAGTACCATTGTTTAGTTTCTTTATATCGGTAACATTATGACATTATTTTGCCTACATAAACAATGTCTTTGTACACTTCTAATCATCAATTCAATACAATTGACACACTTACAAAATTTTTGAGTATTTCAACTTTCTTCTTGCTTCGAGAATTTTAACTCCGCTTTCACACCGGTCAAAATTAAAGTTAGATAAAATCGATGAACACAAAAAACATTCCAGAAGAACATTTAAGAGGTAAACGTGCAAGATCCTTTTCTATTGATCTTTCGAGAAAAGAAAAATGGCAAAATCACTTATAATTTTCCTGCTGGGGGTGGGGCTTCAATAATGAGTTATTCTATTTGTACTTGTTTTTTTACATTTTGGTTTACTCGGACCCACCTCTTCCTCTCACATGGGGGTCGGACCCCACGTCATGACTCCCACATGGAACCCGACCTCATGTGAGAGGAGTGGTGGGGTCGGGTAATCCAAAGTGTCAACAACCAAGTACAAATGACTTAATTCCTTCAATAATTGCACTCCGATGGAATTCACAATCCCTTTCATGTTATCTACGTACAGAATTTTTGTTTAGACAAATGAAGTCCTACCCTTCATTGGGAAAATCAATTGAAATTTATTCAACAGACGAACATAACGTTAAGTAAGGTGATAAGTGTGTTTTTACTCACTTATTCGGTCCACAAAGCATTACTAATTGTTGATAAAAATTGGTTGAATATGACTTAATTCTATGCAATTTTATTTTGTAGGGCTATATTAATGGATATGATGGAACTCAAGAGAAAAGATGCGAAAAAGGGCAAAAAGAAAATAAATGAAAGTTCAAGGACCAAAATGTAAATAGCTAAAAGATGACCGGGAAGCATAAATAAGGATGTGAAATAGTTAAGAACAAATTTAGTAAGGACTTGAAGTATTGGGAGAAGAAAAAAAAATAGAAAAAGGATTAATAGAATCAAGAATTGAATTCGGGGATCAAAATGCAACATTTGAAAATTTTTATAACTGTGCGACAACCCAATTGTTTTGAGTGGACGACTGCCCAACATGAGTAATAATTACCGAGGCGAAAACTTTAGCGTAGGCGGCTGCACGGGATTCGCCTGGGCAAATCGCGGCGAAAAAATTCAGATTTTCTTATTTGACTAAAATTCTTATGGAAACAAATCATGTGAGGTATTTTACAATCCTAGAGCCGTCTCTAAGCATTCATCATGCATTATAACACAGTCATAAGGGTTTTTATAGGAGAGAACAAGGGCAAGAATGTGAAGATTGACATTAAGATGCAAGGATTCAATTCAAGATTAAAATTGGTGATGTCTTTTCTTTATTATTTAGTCTGTTTTCTTCTTCCTATTATGTTATGCTAAATTTGTTTGTACTAGAAGATTGATAAACTATGTGACGTAATCTTTTTATTTCTAGTTTTACATTATTGACAATACAACACGTTATTTAAATTTGAATGGTATATATGCAATTATTTTCTTCCATGATTATGTGCACTTAATTGTGTGAGTGTAGTAACTTATTCCATGCATTCGAGAGAAGAAGAATAAGTTTGACAGAGCATAAATCATCGTAGTATCCGATAGGGGATAGAGATATACTTCTATACTTTGCGTGAATCTTTAAGTGCTCACAAAATCATATGCATTTTTGCATATTTGCACCCGTCATAGAAATATAGGCTGATGGTATATGTTAATAGATTTAACATTACTTGAGAATGATCGTTGAATATATTTAAGAGCATTGATTTTTCAAAAAAATTCAACGTGTTTTCAAATTGTGGAACTAGGGTTAAAAGTGAACATTGCTTGGGGATTCATGATCCTAGTACGCTTCATATTCATTAATTACATCAATCTTGCATTCAAAACGTCACTTTGCATTCTAGTTCGTTTGAGTAATACATAGTTGCATGCTAGGTTAAGGTTAATTTAAGTCACTACAATTCATGTTTGACAACTTAGTTTCTGCTAAGGTCAAGGTAATAAAAATTGAACTAAATCAATCCCTGTGAGACGATACTTGGACTCAACATTCACTTTATTACTTATTAACGAATCGTACACTTGTTGAGTTTCAAATCGAAATATTATTTTCGTGAACATTAGGATTTGGACTCCCTTACAAAAGGTTATCGGGCTAAGCTTGCAAATCCTGAATTGACACCATATTTTGAATATACTCGGATTTAAGAAGGGACTGTACTGGAATATGCGCTCCAACAATGTTTGTCCTGCGGAAATAACGCGTTATTCATTCTTCATTGATATATCAACACATCTTATGGACAAAATATGTATAATGCATCCTGGGATGAAGTTTATTTGGTAATGCAAAAGGTTGAAGGGATGTTCCGAGCTGAGAAACGAACTAGCTTCTTCCAAATAAGCTAATAGGCCGGGACCACATTCCTAAATGAGTAAAAGACCCAGCTACTTCCTATACATAGACAATCACTAGAAGTAGAAAAGGACAGTATTTTAAAATTACATCCCCCATTCTCTCAACCTCTCTTTTCCACACCAACCAAAACTCTGTGTCAGATGACCGTCCAACCAAGAAAAGTCGTATGTTGAAAACAACTTAGACGTGTTGAGTGAGAAAATGTCATGCTTATTTGGTTTGAAGAGTACCGCACGTGTGGGAGGGTTTTGCAGATAAAGCTTCATTTTCGCCATTGCATTTGGCAGCTCTTGTTGAATTGCAGAACTGACCTGCAGCACAAAAGCACGTCTTTATCAACTCAAGGTCTAAAAAATGAAAAGCATATCAAACATTTATAAATTTGCCAAACAAATGCTAGATGTTAGCAGAATTTAAGCAAAGAAAGGAAATGTGGAAAAGAAATTATTTCAATATGCTTATTGAATAGCTATGTTATACATCTCAATAAACATAACTCAAAAGCAAAACAAGTTTAGTCTTGATAAACTAAGACATTCAACTAAAGGTGGAAAAAGAAAATACTACCGCTAATTCAAAAATTATACCTTCAAGACAAGCTCAGAGACCTTCTCCGGGGTTGCAAAAGCTTGATCTTTGAGTGGCTTTGCAATAGCAGACTCTACCTTCTGATTCTGATTTCCCAAAGACAATGCAACTTTGACAGCAGTCACCTTCGTAGACAAATTCGATTCATAGTTACAGATTATGCCTCTAAATGTTAGAAGAATTATCTGTAAAGGAAGGTATAATGTAGAAAAGATTTAAATGACAAATATCAAGCACTAAATTTAACATTATTTACTGACAGAGGACAATGCACTTCCATCTCTCACCCCAAATCCAATTCTTTTCCTAAATTTGCGATGAACACGTGATTTTTTCTTTTCCATTGGAATCTTTATACGGTTTATCATAAATTATATTTTTTCCTATCCTATTGTCCTCGGTTCATATTTATTTTAAGTTTCTTTCTGGTAGATTAGCTTTGCCACATAAAACCCACACATTTCTTCTTCTTTTCTAATTTTTATATTTTATATTTTTATTTTTATTTTTTCATCCGATGCTGCCCACCAATTTTCCTTCTAAGATACTTTTTTCCGCAAAACTAGATCAAAATCATTGTCACCGTTATCATAAGAAATTCTATCTGTTTTATCTGGTCCAAAAATAGCTGTCATACCTGATACATGACATCTCAAAATGCCAAAAATAGTACTGAGACAAGTTTTCTCCACATTAGTAAATAGAAGACAAAACCTTGGTGACAAGAGACAACACAGGATCCACAACCAGCTTAGTGACCAACATAATGAACTCCTCACACATGGATTTGAGGCTTCTCTCTAATTCCCGCATGGAGAATGAATACTCAACTGCATATTACCCCCAAGAAGATGTAATTTAAATTGTATGACAACAAAACCTAAAATTTTAATTAGAAAAGAGAAAGATGTTAAAAGTAAGCCAACTCAAAATGATCAAATTCTATAAAAATATTGTTCAAAAAGCACAATACTAAAGAAGTGGGAATCATACTTGTTAGGTTTAATTGTAATTGGCAATCATGTGAACAAAAAGGGTCAAATTCATAAATCTTTGGCTCGGGCCAAAAAAGGCTCGATGTGAAAAAACCCGAGCCAAGAGTTCTGGTTTGGCTTGGCTCGTTGACCCCTTAGTTAAGGTTAAACTTCAAAACAAGGAAAGAAGGACCATAGCATTTTTGCTTGCTTTTGACCAACACACTGCTCGAGCGGCACAAACAAAAAGGACGTCGCTTAAGCCTTTGTTCGAGCAAAAAACCGTCACTAACTTTTCATTGGACGATCACTCGAGCGACAGTGTTACCTGTAAAACTCTAATTTGTATTTTTTGAGAGTTTTAACAAGTCTAAACTACCCAAAACGACAAACATTTTTTCCCAATACACATTTTCCTTTGTGAGGTCTATCGCACTTAGGACAATGCTTATCACCATTAACTCCTACTATCTCCGTCTTTTCTTTCTTTGATGCATTATTCCCTTTTCCTTTACCGTTATTTTGTCTATCAAAGTTCCACTTCCTCTTACCTGAGAAATTTTGAACTTGGTAAGAATTTCCAACGTTTTGAGTTCTTTGATAAGAAATAGTCTGGACTCGCTTCAGGACTTCTCGATAAGTACTCAGCTTAAGAACTGACACTATGTCACGAATATAAGGTTGAAGCCCACGTTCAAATCTTCTAACCCGCTTTTCCTCCGTATCCACTAGATGTGGAGCAAACCTTGATAATTCCTCAATTTGAGTTCATATTCCACGAGGGTCATGGTTCCCTGTTGGAGTACGAGGAACTCCATCTCCTTTTGATCTTTCACAGCTGCCGGGAAGAATTTTTCTTCTACGAGTTCTTTAAACCTCACCCAAGTCATAGCCTGTTCTTCAGCAGGTGTTAATGACCTGGTAGTCATGTTCCACCAATGGCTATAGCCCCCTTCTTTAACATAAACACTGAAAATGTTACCCTTTCAGCATCTTCGCATCTTATAAATTTAAAGATACGTTCTAGTTCTCGTAACCAATCCTCAACTGCTAAGGGATCCACACTCCCTTCGAACGATGGAGGGTTCATTTTACGAAACTGCTCTATCATTGCAGTTTGATCCCTCGAGTTAGGTACTATTTGAGGTTGAATAGCTGGTTGGTTGGGCTCCTGATGATCAACTGGTACTTGTTGATTTAGGGTTTGTTGCCCAGTCAAAGATGGTGCCTGTTGTTGCTGTCCCAACTCTTGCATTACGGCAAGCAGTTCTTGTGCAAAGTTTGATGCATTAACTTCGCAACCACTAGAACTAGCATTAGCATTGCCACCGCCTAAGTTCATATTGGAATTTGGTGCACTGCCGTGGTTGCGCTTTGGAGGTATTTCCTTTGAATGAAAAATATTCATCCAGTTAGAATTACTTCAGAACGTAATACTAACTTTAGAAAAAAAATCCAAAGGCCAAGGCAACTTTCCTTCATATATATATATTATTATTTTTCACAAACAAAAGTCATATTGAGGTACAGTACATACATTCAAAAGTAGATGTACGTATTACATCCTATTCTATTCCAAATTAACATTGATATCTATACACAACCTAGAAATAGAATTTTACATATATATATTTTTTTCAGTTTGTTAACTTCTAATCACCTGTGACACGATCATATAACATATCGGAACCCAAAATCATATCGCTATAATCCAACATATATATTCTGAGCTTATAAACACATCTCTAGGCCATTTCAAAAGTTATACAAGACAGGACCCCCAAAATACGACACAATAGAGTGTAAGCTCAAAACAATAGCCCACAAAATAACCCTACAGGTCGTCATCCATGTACATTGATCTTTGGAATCCCGTAAGAGCTCCACAGCTAGCCGTGCCCTCTACATAGTTCTATGCTCACTTACAATGTAAGAACTACATAAGTCAATGCTTAGTAAGCAAGAATCATGCATGTCATGAGTATGAGTAACAAGGATATGTGACACCATGTCATTTACTTTAAACATCATGCTAAAGATGCATCATATTCCAATACTCATCAATGTCGACTCGAAATTATTTCATTTGAAATCTTTCATTTCATTGGGCCCTTGACCCACCAACTATGCACCGGATAGAGCTCTGCATAATATAAATATCAATAATCAAGTGGCCAATATGAAATCAACACCGGCGAGTGCACCATCCTCTCGTGACCGCTAGAGGCCCATCCCCTAACTACCCCTATGATCACCCAAGAAGTCTCCCACCCGACAGCGCCAATAATTATAACAAGGGCATAGTCGAGTGGTCCACCCTCCCGTGATCACCAAAGGCCCATCCCCTGTCTACCTTTGCAATCACCCAGGAAGTATCATCCGCGATGCCAAACGTATCACATAAGCATGCTTCACATGCCTCGGTGCCCTAGTAGTGGTCAATAAAACATTTATAAAGAAAACTTACTTTGAAATCATGTTTCGCATGCAAAGTTTTCAACCATGATCATATGTTGTGCATGCCAACGAAAATGCTCATGAATGACATGCTTAATAGAAGTTGATGTCAATGTATTTTGCAACCGCATACTCAATGATCATAATCATCATATAGGGTACAACAAGCTTTCTTATCAAAGTATGAAAATATCCTAATATCACTATACCACAAATGCTAGGTTCTTGCATCGTAGTTGCAAATAGACTATAATAAGTGCTTAAGGAGTAGGACACGAGATTGATGCCTTAAGGTTGGGTGTTAAAATGATAAATATTAAAAGCATGAGGTATTTAAGCATGAGGTGGTCACTAGTAAAAAAAAAAATCTGATTTTATATCTATCTTTGCAGGTATAAATCAAGTATCCTGAGCTTATGTTAATGTGTTTACAATCCATTTCACTTGCTCCATTTCACTTGCCCTAAGATCCCAAAGTATTTCATAGAACTAATTCCTCAACCGTTCATTTAATTTCTTACCCTTTTTACTTACCTTTTTGCCCTTGTGTGTGCACAAGCACCTACGGAGATTATATCACTTTCCTTTTTCACTCAACGTCGGAAAGTCACCTGTATTACCATTTAATATTAAAGACAATCCTCCATTTAATAGCCTAACACACACAAAATCCCAAAATACTTCCATTCATGTCAAAATAATTTAAACGAATTCATTATTCAAGTGACTAACGGCATTACAATCTCGTCCCATAAGTCTCATTTTTCCTTGAGTCCAATTATCAACATCAACGTCATCCAATTGTTGTCAACAACCTAATACTCCTTAGAATCTATTTTCTAAGCCCAAGAGATAATTAATTTACATGTAAAGGTTGAAATCATATTAAACACATAAATGGACAGAACCTGTTTTTCAGTTTTCATCACCATCCAACTACTTTTCCAATCCGTTTTCACCCCCTTATCCATATCCAATGACTCCCAAATTTTTACCACGTTTCTATAACATGTATGTGAAGGCAATAATGCTCTAAAGTCGTGACAAATCAAGTGTTCTCAGCATCAAAATAGTCCATTTCCACGACATCAAAATCAGGCAGTTTTCATTGTGAGAGCTTTCAGTTTCCATTTTATTAGCATGTCATCAAACAGATTCCAGGCTATTAGAAGACCATTTATATCCTTCTAAATCCCATATAACAACATTCATTTATATAGATACAAGTTATATCTTCAGGGGTATTACATCCTTCCCTCCTTATAAAAAATTCGTCCTCGAAATTTGCTTACCAAAAAGTTCAGGATATTTAACCCGCATTTCTTCTCTTTCCCAAGTGGCTTTTTCTGTTGACTAATTTTGCCACAATATCAATAATCAAATGGCCAATATGAAATTGACACCG